TTTTGGTAAAAGGCTGTGCAGAAGAGAGAAGAGGAATAACCAAAATTAACTTTTGTGTCTGTGAAATTCATTTATCCTCGACCTGTTCTGGGGGAGGAGAGAGGAAGAGAAGAATCTGATGCCGGCTGCAGCTGGATGTCATGTCTGCTCAAGTTGCCTTGGAGTGACCCGTGTTTGCACAAACCAGCGATTCTCCTTCCCCAGGCCAGCATTCTCCAACAAGCATACGTTCATTCTCTTCCTGCCTCTCCTCAAGGGGAAATAGGGAAATCTAACATTATGTAATTACCAGCTCCCCACAGTTTAAAATTAGGCATACTACAATCCTAATTAGAGGGAGAATTTAGTGCAACATGACAAGCAACCAATTAGAAATCTAGAGGCTGAAAATTCTAATCCCAGACCTCCCAAGGCAAAGAGAAACAGCCTCATCTCACTCTGTGGCACACTGACCAAGGTATTGTACTTTCACTTACTACAGCCCAGCTAAAGAAGTCCCTGACATTCCTCCATGACACTTTGATGTCACTGCTCTAGATCTTTAGAAAAACACTCATATTCTCTTTGCAAATGGGGTTACCTTACTTTCCTGAGGCTAGACTAAAGAGAGAAAATAGATGTGGACTGTCAAAGCATCCCACAACCTCAAAGGATACATTCCAGTGGTTTTTCTTACCTCGTGATCAAAACCCAATCACACTCCCCATCACACTCATCTTATTCCACCCTTCACTCAAATCATTTATGCTTAAGAGATCCAGATAAAAGTGATTCTATGAGACAAAAGCCCACCAAAATATGATTTTTAAATTACACAGCTATCATCTAATTTATATATAACCTTTGAAAAACAAAGGGTCATATAAGTGTGTGACTTTGTATGTTTTTTTTTAATTAGCTAGGCACAGAAAAAAGCTGAAAGCAAAAACCCAATGAGACTCACTTCTTCGCCATACCAAAAAAGTAGAAGTGTAGCTGATAGAAGATTGGGTGGTCAAGCTTCAGTGATAGTGGAACACCCGTATTTTACACAGCTTCATATCTGGAACAAGATGTACACATTTGTACGAGCACTGAAAGAACACCATAATGTGTAATCTCTCCGGAAAAGGGAGAGCCCCTCAACTAAAGGGCAGTCACCCAACTGGCAGGAATATTTCTTCTCTCCTGGCTCAGATGACTCCAGTGGAAGGTGTAGGGTGGTGCTATAAATCAGTCACGTTTTCAACAGGAAGCTCCTAAAACATTTCCTGTTTTATGTGCAAGTATCTCTCTACCTGACCGATACCCACCCCCTCTGGTAACACACGTAGCTGAGGGAGAAGATCTAAAAATTGCCATTGTTCCAGAAACAAGGAAAATACAACTACTTTATTTTACAAAAGGAAAATGAGTTTAAGAAAGGAAGAGAAGGTAAAAATTAAGTTTTGACTTCTCTAAAGAACATACAAGTATATTACATCTGAGTAAATAAAGATTTCTATTTAAAAAAAAAAAAAAACCCTAAAGGCTCTACCATGTAGAAACTTTAATTAACTCATAATTTCTTTTTCCATAACTTTGTAATTTGAGTAACTCCAAAGCTTGGTTACCAAACACTGTATCAATGCTGTTTTCATAGCTTTTCAATCTTAATGTCCATTTTGTTTGTTTCCTTAAGTTTTGCCTCTTCTCATTTAAGTCATTTAATAAACACTGAACACTTAAGTGAGGGAAAAATGTAGTAAACAAATTTTTACATAATAGACTCTAAAATGGGAGGTAAAAAACAGTAAATGAAGAAATAAGTTAAGTCTGGAAACTTGCCTTCCAATCACTGCCTTGTCATTAACTAGTTCTATAACCTTCGACAAGTCACTTCAACTTTCTGGGCCTCAGTTTCCACATTTTTAAAATGAGGAAGATGGGCCAGATGATTTATGCTAAAAATCCCTTCTAGCTCCAACAATCCATGAATCTGTTCATAAGGAAGTTAAGAAAATGAAAACGCAAATAAGGTTTTATGGTTTACAAAGTGCTTTCACACATATATTCTCATAAACTTTTGCAGCAAATCTGTGAGGCAAGTATTGTGCCCATCTTTGCAGAAAAAGACAGTGAAACTCAGGAAGAGGTTCAATTATATCTCAAGCTCTCACAGCTGAAAAACAGCAAACCTTCTAAGGACAAATACTGGGCTCTACGATGTCAACAATTTTAAATAAGTCAAAATTCAAAAACAATTGCTTGCTATGCAAAACTTTTATGGAGGCATCAGGCTATTATAACACCAAAGGTTTCTACCAATGTCACATTAGACTGTAAATGCCATGAGACCAGGAGTACATTTAGTTATGACTGTAATCACAGAACCCAGCTACGTGCCTCTCAGATTGAGGCACTCAATGAATACAAGCTGACTGAACACAAATCTCAAAAGGTTAGGAACATAATAATGTTATGAAGAAAAAAGAGGGAAAAAAATACTTTCTGAATCTATTGTGAGATTTGAACCCATGATTTGGGCCAAAAGGAAGAAAGAAGCATGCTCTATACCAGTCTATATTATGGGGATAAGTCTACTATTTGTCTTCCCTTGAGAAAGTCCAATTTGGTCAGTGAACCAAAAGCCTGAAATCTTTGATATTACCTGAAAATCTTCAAGATATTCATACTGCATATGTACACTGATGGGAACCAATGGAAATAATAATGTAATAATAACAATATGATAGTGAAAACTGTAAAAAGGCACATAATCATGTCATTAATCACTACAAGCTTTCTGTTACATTGGAAAGATTTGGGGAATCTGTACTCTCATACCATTCCAGACGTCCTCAAAGAGACAGAAAATGATCATTTATTGAAAAATTCAAATTGCAACTTTCGAACGTAAACATATCTCAACTTAGTCCTCAGTCAACCAAGATCTCCCAAAATCTACAAAACAGCTAATCTCAAGAAATTCTCCATCTGTGGCTTTAAAATGTTACTAGTCTTCCACCACAAAAGAAAAAAAAAAAGGTGTTAAAAAGGCAGAGGGAAGGGGATGTGTCTACACACCAAAATTACACGTGTAATTCAAAGCAAAAGTGAAGTAAATACGAAAGCCAGAAAATAACAGTGAAATAATGGAATTAAAAGGTTCTCAATAAAGATTTCAGGGAGGTGATTTGGAATTATTACCAAGAGTTCAAGTCAACCTTGCCACAGAATCCTACAATGAAGCCACAACACTGTCTGACACTTCAGATCTAAAAAGTTCACTGCACCAGAACTCTAATTTCAAACACAAGGAGCAGTACCAGGAACTGCAGAGAAGCTAACAACAGCAACACCTACTGACTGTCTTGAGCCACTTGCCAAACTTGTTCTCTATGTCAACTGAAGAAATCTAACCACACAACTTCAAGAGTCCTTTCTTCATCAGTAATGAGATGACAAGAAAACAAGATGTCAACATTCATCCCCCAAAATTTCTAATTTTGTCCCAAACTATAAGCAAATTATCACCCGTCATTTAAAATGTATTGTTAATTGCTAATGCTTTAATATAAATAATTCATTTCATGGGGGAAATGTTTTACTATTAATATTCTAGTTAATAGCTGGTAAGTCATCTAATAATTGGACACACCAGTGGCCATAAAGTGCTTTATTTAAACCTTTTATCTTAGGTTACTGCTATTACTGCTGTTCTATATTACTCCATCAGCTCTTGTTCATTCTGGTAAAGGTAGCTTAATTGCAGCTTTCAAAAAATGAAAAAGGGAAAAGTGAAAGTCGTTAAGTCAGGATTAGAGAGTCACTAAACTGGCCGCAGAGAAGGATTCTATAGGATTTAATCTTGTACTTTTCCAAAAGACCCAGTCAGAGAATATTTGCCTTGGAAGAATACTGAGTACGAAAAAACAGGAGAAAGTTGACACTTAACTCCCACAGAGTACCAATATAAAAACAATGGCTTTAAGAGTCTGAGTCAGTGTTTCAACATAAAAGGTTTGCTTTATAGGGGAAACGCCAACCCCAGTTCATCCAGCTAGACCTGGAACCTGATGAAAGCCGACACCTTTACTCTGAAATTTGCACCGCATCTTTGGCTCCTAGTATAGAAGTATAATCGTTTAGCACGTAATATGAATTTCATTGAATGCTGCCTCTAAACTACCCTTCATGAAAAATAAATCTATAAAGTAAATGCAGTCTAGTAGCCATCAATCCTCAAAAGCCTTCCTTCAAAAATGATTACCAACAATTCAGTTAAATATCTTCCTTCAAAGTGAGCCATTTCCCATGTCTGTCTTCCGAACGGTGAGCCCCGCTGAAATTTCTACCTGCCCAATACGACTATTTCTCCACCTAGAAATGCTGTGGTGCGATTTAGTAGCCTCGTAAATTTTCTTTAAGGTCAGGAGAGAAGTTGCAAACAGATGGGGTGAAGGAGGAAAAGTTATTTTTGCAGCACCCTCCTGGCTCCCTAGCCCTCTCGCGTTTTACTTGGTTCAAGGAAAGCAGGTTACAGCATCCCCGGATTTCACTACCCCAAGACCCCCAGGAGGGAAATTAACCACCGGCGCGAACACCGACCTGGTCCCCTCCCTTCCGCACTATGAAACCACTCGGCCTGTCCTCTTCGGCACAGCCTGCAAAGCGCTCACCCAGGTGACCGAAGGGGAAAGGTTGCCCAGTTGAGAAGAGAGCTGCGGAGTGGGCGCAGCCTCCTCGATAGGGGCGCGGGTCGCCCGGCCTCTCACAGAGGCGCCTGCCCGGCAGATGTGCAGATTCGGGTTTCGAGGTGCGTGCGCGCGCGCCGGGCGCGGTGGAGCCCGGACTCGCCCCCCGCCGGGCTGGGCTGCGCTATTAGCACACCGCTAAATCGGAAATAAAACTTTCACCGACCTCCCGGTGTCTTGCCCCGGGACCTGGACCCCAGTTCCAGCCAGAAACCGGGAGGGGGGGCTGTCAGCAGCCCTGCACCCTCGCTCCCCTGCCCGGACCCGGCGCGCGGGGCCACTTACCGCTCGGCCCGACCTCCCGGTGCCGCCGCGCGTCCAGGGTGCGTCCGCCGCGCGCTCTCCCTGGGGAGAAAGAGAAACCGTGTAGACGGCCGGCGCGCGCTCACTCGCCGTCTCCTCTGCGGAGAACGGCAGGCAGCGAGGCCGGGGCGGGAGCCGAGCGGAGGGGGCCTGGGGGAGGCGGGGGCGGAATCAGCCCAACTCCCGAGCCTGGCTCGGAGGGGGACCCGGAATGCAGGCTGGAGAGCAGCCAGCAGGGGCCTTGCTCCTGAAGGAGTCGAGGACGGTGCGGGAGGTGTCCCCCCTCCCCGGGCATCAACTATTGTCTGGGCGCCTGGGCCCCCGATCGCGCCGCCTCCGAGGCTCAGCGCCCCCCTATCCCACAGCCCGCCGGGGGGAGAAAGAGCTGAGGAGGCAGCTGACCCGACAAGCGAGTGAGGGAAGAGGGGTCAGGGGTCCGAGGTGGGCTCCGGAGAGAGGGGAGGTGCGTGTGAGTGGGGGAAGGGACAGGTAACTGCCAGCAGGGGCGGGGAGGCCGGTGGGGAAGGAAGTGGGGAGGGAGACATAGAGGCGGGAGGGGATGGAGAGGCTGGGGGGGGCGGCCTCTGGGGCCCAGACCTGGCCCTCCCCGGAACCCTCCTCCCGGGACTCGGCGCCGCACTGACTTTTTCGCTCACTCGCTCACGCACGCACTGAACTCGCTCACAAAGTTGCCGGCGGTGGCGGCGCCGCACTCGCCCTTCCCCTCTCCTCTCCGCCCCGCCTCCCAGCCCCATTCCTTCCCCGGCTTCACTCCCTCCCTCGCCAAGTCTCGGATGAGATCACTGTAGGGCGCTCAGCGCTGCGCGCAAATCTCGCGAGAGACACGGAAGCTCGGCTCTGACGGCGGGGGAAGTAGAAGCAGTCGGTGGAACCAAGGGGACCAGGGAACTCCTGGTTGCTGTGACAACGACAAAGCCCTGCATTCCTGTCTCCTGCAGAGAGCAGAGGCAGCAAACGTGGGTGCAAATTTTCAACATTCCCTTGCCCGACACCCTAATGGTGGGGAAAGCGAATGCTAGAAGCGGAAGGAGGATTAGTAAAGCTATTAGAAGGGGCATCCCATCAACAGACATGGTATGTGGCCAAATTTGGCAAATGAGGCTAATTGTTTTTTAAGATATTTTGGTACTGATCTCTGCCATAGATGCCAGGTGATATCTGTACCTCCAGATTTCTACCGTGGATTCAGTTTTTCAACTATCCCTTCTCATCTCCCAACCTCCACTCCACACGCTACCCTTCTCCTCAACACACAAGTGGGGTAGGGAACAACAGACCGAGCTACTTGAAGATCTGGCTTATTCATCTTCCTATTCTCAGCACCTCCACAGGCTTAGCACATAGTAGGTATTTACTTAATGTCTACTGAAAAATATGAACGCAACACTCTGTACATGTCCTCAGAACTTTCCTTTTCTCCTATCTTGAAGAGTACTCAAGCTTGTTGTTGTTAGGTGCCATCAAGTCAGTTCTTACTGACTCTGTGTATAACAGAATGAAACACTGCCTGGTCCTGTGCCATGCTCACAATCGTTGCTATATTTGAGACCATTGTTGCAGCCACTGTGTCAATCAATCCTGTGGAGGGTCTTCCTCTTTTTCACTGACCCTCTACTTTACAAAGCATGATGTCCTTCACTAACTGATCCCTCTTAATAACATGTTCAAAGTACGTGAGACAAAGTCTCACCATCCTCCCTTCTAAGGAGCATTCTGGCTGTACTTCTTCCAAGACAGATTTGTTTGTTCTTCTGGAAGGCCACAGTATATTCAATATTATTGGTCGACACCATAAATCAAAGGCATCGATTCTTCTTCAGTCTTCCTTATTCATTGTCCAGCTTTCCCATGCATATGAGCAGATTGAAAATACCATGGCCTGGGTCAGGCACACCTTAGTCCTCAAAGTGACATCTTCGCTTTTGAACACTTTAAAGAGGTCTTTTGCAGCAGATTTGCTCATTGCAATGTGTTGTTTGATTTCTTGACTGCTGCTTCCATGGGTGTTGACTATGGATCCAGGTAAAATGAAATCCTTGACAACTTCGGTATTTTCTCCATTTATCATGATGTTGCTTATTGATCCACTTGTGAGGATTTTTGTTTCTTTATGTTGAAATGTAATCCATACTGAAGGCTGTAGTCTTTGATCTTCATCAGTAAGTGCTTCAAGTCCTCTTCGCTTTCAGCAAGCAAGATTGTGTCATCTGCATGTCACAGGTTGTTAATGAGTCTTCCTCCAATCCTGATGTCATGTACTTCTTCATATAGTCCAGTTTCTCGGATTATTTGCTCAGCATACAGGTTAAATGAGTATGCTGAAAGGATAGAACCCTGATGCACACCCTTCCTGATATTAAACCATGCAGTATCCCCTTGTTCTGTTCCAAAGACTGCCTCTTGGTCTATGTACAGGTTCCAAATGAGCACAATTAAGTGTTCTAGAATTCCCATTCTTCGAAATGTTACTCATAATTTGTTATGATCCACACAGTCGAATGCCTTTGTATAGTCGATAATAACACAGATAAACAACCTCCTGGTATTCTCTGCTTTCAGCCAACATCCATCTGCCATCAGCAATGATATCTCTCCTTCCACAACCTCTTCTGAATCCAGCTTGAATTTCTAGAGGTTCCCTGTCAATGTACTGCTGCAACCATCTTTTAATTATCTTCAGCATAATTTTACTTGAGTATGATACTGTTCGATAATTTCTGCATTCTGTTGGATCACCTTTCTTTGGAATGGGCACAAATATGGATCTCTTCCAGTCGGTTGGCCAGGTAGCTGTCTTCCATATTTCTTGGCATAGACGAGTGAGGGCCTCCAGCACTGCATCTGTTTGTTGAAACATCTCAATTGGTATTATGACAATTCCTGAAGTCTTGTTTTTCTCCAGTGTTTTCAGTGCAGCTTGGACCTCTTCCTTCGGTACCATCAGTTCTTGATCATGTGCTACCTCCTGAAATGGTTGAATGTTGACTAATTCTTTTTGGTACAGTGACTCCGTGTTTTTCTTCCATCTTCTTTTGATGCTTCTTGCGTTGTTCAGTATTTTGCCCATAGAATCCTTCAATACTGCAACTCGAGGCTTGAATTTTTTCTTCAGTTCTTTCAGCTTGGGAAATGCTGAGTGTCTTCTTCCCTTTTGGTTTTCTAACTCCAGGTCTTTGCACATTTCATTGTAATACTTTACTTTGTCTTCTCAAGCAGCCCTTTGAAATCTTCTGTTCAGCTCTTTTACTTCATCATTTCTTCCATTTGCTTTAGCTGCTCTATGTTCAAGAGCAAGTTTCAGAGTCTCTTCTGACGTTCATTTTGGTCTTCTCTTTCTTTCCTGTCTTCTTAATGACCTTTTGCTTTCTTCATATATGATGGCCTTCATGTCATCCCACAACTTGTCTGGTCTTTAGTCACTAGTGTTCAATGCATCAAATCTATTCTTGAGATGGTCTCTAAATTTAGGTGAAACATACTCAAGGTTGTATTTTGACCCTCATGGACTTGTTTTAATTTTCTTCACCTTCATCTTGAACTTCCATATGAACAATCGATTGTCTGTTCCACAGTCAGCCGGTGGCCTTGTTCTTACTGTCTCTTTCCACAAATGTAGTCAGTTTGATTCCTGTATATTCCATCTGGTGAGGTCCACATTTATAGTCACCATTTCTGTGGTTGAAAAAAGATGGTTCCAATGAATAGGTTGTTGGTCTTGCAAAATTCTGTCTTGTAATCTGGTGTCATTTCTATCACCAAGGCCATATTTTCCAACTAGTGATCCTTCTTTGTTTCTGACTTTCACATTCCAATGACCGGTAAATATCAATATATCTTGATTACATGATTGATCGATTTCAGACTGCAGAAGTTGGTAAAAAATCTTCAATTTCTTCATCTTTAGCGATAGTGATTGGTACGTAAATTTGAATAATAGTCATATTAACTGGTCTTCCTTGTAGGCTTAGAATATAAGTTTCTGCTCCACAGGTATTTTTTTCTGTTAAACTGTTACCCATTTCTATTCACACCATCTTTTTTTTTTTAAATGGTGTTAAACCCTCCTTTCTCCATCTTTGTATCATTAAAACCCTATTCACCATGGGGTGGGAGGAGTATTTTTTAAGAAATCATTAAGAATCCTCAGTTCAGCATATTGTTTCTGATACCTTTATTGTTGTTGTTCAGTGCTGTGGAGATGATTTTGAGTCATGCGACCCATGTGACAGAGTAGAACTGCTCCATAGTGTTTTCTAAGCCATAATCTTTATGGGAGCAGAACACCAGGTCTTTCTCCTGTTGTGCCACTGGGTGGATTTGAACCACCAACCTTTAGATTAGCAGCTGAGTGCTTAACCATTTGTACCACCAGGGCTTCTTGATGCCTTAATAAAAAAACAAAACAAAACCAGACTCATTGCCGTGGAGTTGACGCCAACTCATAGCAACCCTGTAGGATGGAGTACAACTGCCCCATAGAATTTCCAAGGCTGTAATCTTTATGGAAGCAGACTGCCACATCTTTCTCCCTCAGAGCAGCTGGTGGGTTTGATCTACTGGCCTATGCCTTTATACATACTGAAAAATACTACTGAGGATGAAGATGGAATGTTCTCATCTCCTGTTTCTTCTTCTAATTGTCAAAATTTTTCTTTGTAGATTTTATATACGCACTGCCTAAGTAAAATGGATATTGCGAATGGAAGTTAAGCTTATACTTTAGATTTCATCCCTATTTACTTAATATGGGGAAGCCATTATTTAATTCAATCCCACAGAACTAGAAACATTAAACAGTACATGAAGACTATGCTGTGTGAAGAAGCCCCATAAATCTAGGTGGTTGGCATAAGGAAGGCTTCTGCTAAAGATATAGGCTGCACTCCATTTCTGCTGTTTACTGCTCATTCCCAGCTGACTCTCAAAAGTCACCTAGCCAGAATACCTCAGGAGGACTATGGGCTTTCTTTCTTTCCTCCCTTGCTCTCACAGCATGCTCTCAAGAAAGGTATTCACTCAGGCTGGCCCCCAAAATATCCACAGTTAAAATGTTAAATGACTCATACATTATGGTTAACAAAACAATGCTTAAGGGATCTCGTAACTGTCTTGTGTCTGTTAAAGCATGATTTTGTAAATGTCAACCAATCAGATTTTTTTTGGTAAGTTTCTGAATTTTCTGTACTTAAACTCTGTGAAAAAATTCCTTTTACTGGAGTACCTGTGTGAATCCTCATGAAGTGCTGCCCGATCCAGATCACTCTGTTCCTTCAATAAACCTCTTTCCTTTAATTTTAACAGAAATCCCAGTTTGTTCTTTGACAGCAGTTAAGACTTTTTTAGGTTATATGCAAGCTTAAACACAATGTCAATGAAAGTTTCATGTTAGAAACCCAAGTGATACAATGGTACAGCACAAAGTCAGGAAACTAGGGTTTGACTCTTTATGTGCCATTAATAATTGAATCTCTTTGAGAAATTATTTAATCTGTCTGATTCTTCGACTCTGAAATGAGGAGGTAGCCCAGATGTTAGTCATTTACAGCTTTAAAATTCTATAGTCCTTAGACCTGTAAAAAGTTCCAATAAATAACACATATTTTCCTTTTACATCGATCAGAATAATAAAAACAAATAGGTGTTTCATTTTATAGTAGGTCAGTTTCCGTAAGTTTAGTTACATATTGAAATTTTTGTTTTAAAATTTC